AACACCTTACCACACTCTAAATTTATATTAGTGTATGCTAAACTTGTTTTCGTGGTACATGGAGATCATTCTAATTTTCAAATGACTATGTTAGTTAAACTTTTATACCACATAATCAATGGAATAATCCTACAAAACTCTATTTTTTGAAAAAATGGGAACACATAAGGTCTCAAACCTCTTTAATTTTCATGTTATGTCAGTTCATGACGCAACTATGCATTAACAAAAAAAATACCAAGATTGTTTATTTATCTCGAAATATGTGGGTTAACTAACCCCTATGAAAATATTGAATTTTCCAATAAATGCTATATATACTAAATTTTAGACTCTTAAGTGTTGTTTAAAAATACCTAACCACACTCTAAACTTATACTAATGTAGGCTAAACTTGTTTTCATTGTACATGGACATCATTTCTAATTTTTAAGCGGCTATGTTAGTTAAACTTTTTATACCACACAATCAATGGAATAATCCTATAAAACTCTATTTTCTTAAAAAATGGAAACAAATAAGGTATCAAATCTCTTTAATCTTCATATTATGACAGTGCATGATGCAACTATGCATTAAAACAAAAATACCAAAACTTTTAATTTATCTTCAAATATGTGGGTTAACCCCTACGAAAATATTGAGTTTTCCAATAAATACTATATATAGTAAATTTTAGCCTCTTTAGTGTTGTTCAAAATACCTAATCACACTCTAAATTTATACTATTGTATGCTAAATTTGTTTTCATGGTACATGGGCATCATTTTTAATTTTCAAATGACTTTGTTAATTAAACTTTTTATACAACATAATCAGTGGAATAACCCTATGAAACTTTATTTTCCAGAAAAATGGAAACATATAAGGTCTCAAACCTCTTGAATCTTCATATTTTGTCAGTTCATGATGCAGCTATGCATTAAAACAAAAATATCAAATTTTCTACTTTATCTCGAGATATGTGGGTTAACCCCTACGAAAATATTGAGTTTTCCAATAAATGCTAATTTTAGCATCTTTAGTATTGTTTAGAAATACCTAACAATATTCTAAGTTTATGCTAATGTATGCTAATTTTTTTATGGTACATGAGCATCATTTTTTTTTCCAAACGACTAATTTATTTAAATTCTTATACCACATAATCAATGGAATAACTCCTATAAACTCTATTTTGTAGAAAACAGGAACACATAAAGTTCCATACCTCTTTAATTTTGATACTATATCAATACATGGTGTAGCTATGCAATAAAATAAAAATTCTAATTCTTTTAATTTATTTCGAAATGTGTGGATTATAGTCTTTTATCAAAGAAAAAAAAAAGATATATAAAGACTACAGTCCCTAGCTACATCATCACCATGAAACAATGCTAATAAAGTTTTACTAAACTACATTGATATAGATGATATTAAATTAAACGCATGCTTCTTGCTTACCGTAGGCTTTTGTTTCATAGGATACAAATTCCAATTAGTTGAAAAGTATCGTTCAGAGATGATAAATACCGTAGGTTTATTTTCTAATCATCTTTTCACTGTACAAAATTATACAGGAGTTAGCATCTATAGCAAGTCATGAAATAATATGACAAATCTTTACATTCCAACGCCCATATGATCTATAACTCTTGTAATACTTGGACTCTCGGGGTTACATTTTCTAGTTATTATGCATATGAAATTATTCTTTTAGCTTAAATATGTACATGCACATATTATAGAAAACATCGGATTTTCCTTGACCGCTACAAATGAAAAATTGAATAGGCCATGAAAATTATGAATATGTACAAGTCATGTAATACTAAACTCATGCATATGAAATTATTCATTTAGCTTAAATATGTACATGCACATATAATAGAAAACGTCGGATTTTCCTTGACCGCTACAAATGAAAAATTGAATAGGCCATGAAAATTATAGAGCATAATTGATCATATGTTTAGTAAAAATAGATAGTTACTGTCTACTGAGAGGCAGGTTGAATTTTTTGGACAGAACACACGTGTTACTGCAGATAAATAAGCAATCCCAAGGGACAGAATAAAATCCCATCAGTTTCTTCATGTTTAGTTTCTACAAAACATAAAACTTCCAAGAAAATGTTCAGGTTGTAATTCTAAAACCTGATTTTCTTAAAACTAGTATTTATAGTTTAGTGGTTTTCAATTGTATCACTGCTGTGTGATTCACTTCCTAAATTTAAATTCCGTAAACTATGTGTATAAAATTTAGTCGAAGAAAAATGTGTTAATCAAATAAACAATCCGGCAAAAAAGTGTATATTATGTAATTAAATACAATAAATGTATACATATAGGTTGATTAACATATTATGTCTCGACTAAATTCTTTGGAACATATATTAAGTCGTAAAATCGTATATAAATTTATACAGCATTTCTTCTAATAAAATACAGATATCATCTAAAAGAAGATGTTTTAACTTTATATATGAACGAAAACTATTTATTTTTTTATAAATATCCCAATTTAGTTATGTTTTATTGTAATCTAGTTTTTATTCCACTCGGCATAAATGAAAACAAACAAAATGACACATTCACAAAACTATTCACCAAGTTGCATCACACTGACCTCTCATGCTAGCTTCAACTTTACCTTCCACAATCAGCACATGCAGATTCTTTTATTCTATATTATCTCTTGTGTGTGTTGTTTCAAATGAGACCATATATATAAAATGTGGTTTCTAGAGATTCTTAGGGTATATCACAAGGATTCAATTAAATAAAATTACAAGGAAAAATATGCGAGGGACAGTAGTACTAGTCTAGTTTTAGTAGATCATATGTGTGAGGAGGACCCATCACCCATATTCTCTTTATCTCTGCAAACCTTTTATAACACTTCATACCCCCACCTCTCCTATATGCAACCTCTCTACATTATGGAGAGCTATATGTACATTAATACCACACTAATTGGTTTCTTGAACCTTTTGATGGTAAAACTTGTCAAAAAAGTTTACAAGATGTTGATATAGCTAGTATGTAGAATCCTGCATCGAAAGTAAGATAGAATGTTACATGTATGATTTCAACAAATATGAATCAATTTATGTTAAGTGGAAGTCGATGAACTAAATGATATAAGAAAACTTGACAGGGATAGCTATGAATCTGTTTCCAAAAGATCAATGGTTGAATTAAGAGCATCCACAACCGTGAGACCCATAGGACTCTTTAACAAAAATTATATTTCGGATTTTTTTTTTTAAAAGATGATCATTCGCGGGTCGCCACGTGGGCAACAGGACCCGTGAACAGTGAAGAGATCAGTCCTTAAGAAAGGATTTTAAAGACTCTTTGTGGCACAAACTCATAAAAAATTGGACACCACACCTTGCTAAGGACTCCTTAAGAGCCTTCTAATAAACAAACCAACCAAATCATATTGTTCAAGAATTTTCGAACTTAGTTGATATTTAGCCATCTAAATTTTCGGATTAGTAAGATTGGATTATTAATTATATATGAACCACTTTTTCTGTATAGTACTAACTAATTCTGTGACTGTGTTAGCAAAGAGTATGAGACTAGCGTTCTCTTTTAGCAAAGAATAGCACCTCTACGTTCGAGCCCTAAGTCTTTATATTAGTCACATAGTGAAAATTTAAAATGAGTAAATTAGTTTGGTGATAAAGTAGGGATGCTTGCCTCACTTTAGTAAATTTATAAATCCCACCACTAACACCCATCATAACTCGACACACAATAATTAATAACCTAACGGATCTTGAAAGCATTCTTTTTTTTTCGGAACTGTATCTTAAAAGCATTTTAAGATTAATTCTGTGCGGTGAAATTTGCAGTTTATTTCCAAACTCGATAGTGCTACGACTTGCGAGAGGTTCAGCGCAAACAACCAGACTAAGTTATCAAAAAAACATTTATGTGACCACTTAAACTCTGGACGTCAACTCTGATAATTATCTGACTTTTGGCTAACATTTTTTGGTGATGACAATGGTGCGAGAACTAAATAAGAAGAAGATACTGTTAAAAATGTCACAATCAGTTGTCACTTCCAATAATATATCTCTAATATATACTATAACACAATTAACTGTTGGTATGATACTAACCCTAGCTATAGCTTCAAAACTTTTTGGACCCCCCCCCCACCCCAATTGTTTGTTTCATAAATTGACTTGAGTTCACATGAAATCTATTGACTTATACTGATTACCTGTCTCTACCTAGCTACTTTGAGGTCTCAAGAGCTTATTGTTCTTCGTATATATATTTGAATTAAGCTGAAGATGTCTAGCTAAAACTAAAAAAAAAAATTAATACTCTATTAATTTCAGAATGTGAAGATATTACAATACGAACACACAGTTAGCCATGTGAATTATTTTCAGTTTCTCGTTTTTTCTGCAAAAGATATTCATATTCTAAATAAGATGTTATCTAGTTCCCATTGCAAATCAAGCATTATTGTGATCATATATATAATTAGACAGATGATATTTGGTGGAGACTTTTAGGGTTTCTTAAGGTTCCAATTCTTAATATGGCCATCAGCGTGAGAGGTATATATAGAGAGACATCATAGGGTATATATACACAATGATTGTTAGCTTAGAGTTGATCTTGAGACTGTTAGGGAATATTGCTATCATTAATGCATGAAGAAAATTTACAAAAGCTAAAGTTAAAAAAATTAATTCATTGGGAGACAAAAGTGAGCACAGTGGATGATGTTACTATTATTCTTGAGATGAAATGTCATAGTCGTTTTATGAGGGACATACATTTCCCTCCTCTTCCTGTTTATTAATTGTCATTTGTTATTATTACACTTTGTCTTTTGCTCTTTCTTCTTGTTCTCCACTAAAAGTTTCTCTTCAAATTTCCCTTTTTATTTGTTTGTTTGTTTCTGTTGACAAAAAAAAATGTTTGTTTGTTTCTTTAAATTCTCAACCTCTATACAGATCTTTCTCAATTCTTCTTGAAATTAGGGTTTCCCCTTTCTCTGAGAGGGCTAAACACCTAAAATATTTCTCTCATTGACTAAAGAGTTAAGCCTATACTATCTACTTTGGAAACAAATTTCAAAGGTAAGAAAAAGCCATTGAAAGAGGAAGAAAGACACTACCACCTCAAAGAACCTAAAGATCTAAAGGTAGGTGAATACATATATCTATATACGCTTTGATATGTGTATGTTTATTTGCATCTCAATAAACTCATAGATGTATGCATAGCTTCCGATCATCAAAGTAATCCTTAATTTTCAACTATACGTTTTTTTACCTATGCTCAGTGTTCAATTTTCTGTGTGCGGCTACTTATATGTGTGTGTAATTGTATCCACTTTGACCTTTCTGTACAATTTCTTTTGAAGTTCTGCTCTAGGAAAGACTTTAATTAAGGGTAGCTAATTATATCATGTGAGAAAATGATATTAGTAAGTACATGTGTACGTTAAGCTTTCATCACTACAATGATCACTTGCTCACTTTGAGATGACCTAATTAATTTCAGATCTAAAGATTCTATATACATATCAAAAATAGGATTGATTTGAGGGTAGTGTAATTAGTCCATCTCGGCAAGGACAAAGAGGACGGAAAGAGAGAAATATAGGAGATAGTTTAGTTATCGGATTTACAAAATAAAACTTCTGAAATTTGAAATTTTCTATGATCAAGTGTAATCGAATTTAGGGCTTACCAAAAGAATTAAAGAATTCTCATTCATGACTCTTCCCAAGGTATTAGTTTTTTTCTTAACAAAGTTATAGGGTTGAAGAGAGAGAGATGAAGATGGAGATGGTAAAGCACATCAGAGCACAACTGAATCAAAAATAAAAAATAAAAATGACTTTTAGTAAAAAAATTATTATATAGTTGCATAATAAGTATTTATATGTAATGTTGTTATACGTACAAAGAGATACACAAATTCATTGATCTGAATAGTCTGTTGTTTGTCCAAGGAGTTTAAAAAATACTTGTAGTCTCATAAAAATTGAAATGTATCCTGACTGACTGATCCATATATGTCTTAGCCACATATATACTCTGTTAAGAAAATTCTGATAGTAGTAGATATTAACTAGATTCAACTACTTTAAATCAAGTTATCAAATTCTTTAAAGAGAGATTCGTTAGTGATCTGCAATAATCAGTTTAAATTTGTATATGTGATGTTAATTTTTCCATTTATGTAGTACTTAAAAATTATTCTTAATGTAGAATTTAAAAATAACACTAATTAGTACGCTTTAATTATATGTGATGCTAGGTGTATCAACAACAAAAAGTATCTAAATTTTTATGTTTTCATTTTAGATCAGTAAACGCAAAAACAAAAAAACAAAAACAAAAACAAAAAGCATCAGGTAAAATCAAATTGATTGTTCAATTTACCAGCATCTCCTGGTGAATCTATGTGTTCATATATACCTAATTCAACTAATTTGAAGACCTTTAGGTTTTGCAAATATACTTTTTATTTTCTTAGTTCTCCTGCATGTGTACGTTTGCGTCTATGTGTTTATATGCATTTGTCTGTATATATATAAAGAAAAACATGAAACGGGAAATTAAAGAAAAAAATAGCAGGAATTAAAAAAAAAAAAGATATAAGTAATCGTGTGTGATATTGATGAAATTTTCTAGCAAATTCAAAAATATACATGTACTTTATTTAGTATGAAAACATTCATATACGTGTATGTGTGTATCTGTTTTTAACTTCTTATTTGTAATGTTAACAGTGTTTGAAAATTTAATATTAGGTATCAGAATTCCAAAAAAAAAGAAATGGCTTCATCATCATCATCAAATACATACAACTCACCATGCGCCGCGTGCAAGTTTCTTCGCCGCAAATGCATGCCGGGATGCATATTCGCGCCATATTTCCCCCCTGAGGAGCCACACAAGTTCGCCAACGTCCACAAAATCTTCGGAGCAAGCAACGTCACCAAGCTCCTCAACGAGCTCCTCCCTCACCAGCGTGAAGACGCAGTCAACTCCTTAGCCTATGAGGCCGAGGCACGTGTCCGTGATCCTGTCTATGGCTGCGTTGGAGCCATCTCTTATCTCCAGAGGCAAGTCCATAGGCTTCAGAAGGAGCTTGACGCCGCTAATGCTGATTTGGTTCACTATGGTCTGTCCACGTCAACACCTAACCTCGTCGACTTGGTGTTTCAGCCTCAACCGCAGCCGTTGAATCCGGTTTATAGGCTTCCCGGAGTGAGTCCGGTGATGAATCAGCAGCCACGTGGTACCGGAGGGTCGTGTGGGTCTTTTCTTCCTTGGAACAATGGTCATGATCAGGGAGGAGGTAACATGTGAGAGAGTATATATAAATTGTGTGTTCTATATATTCATCTCTCTCTATCTTTCTATATTTATGTCATTATTATGTGTGTGTGTGTGGTAAGAATACAATATAATAAGCTGGAATTTTTTTCTAGCCAACTTTTATAAATGCATGGACTGTTATTTGTTTTATGATGAGCTCTATATATATACACATTCTTATTATTCTTTTTTGAGTAGCAGGACTAAGCTAGGAGACATATTAGTTGGTTGTTTAACGATAAATGGTCGTTTTAGGCTAATACTTAACAAACATGATAACTAGTTTATTGAGTGATTATCAACATATATATAATTATCTATAGTTGCTTATTTCCGTGGTTGGTTTAATTCATAAACTAGGATCATAGTTATGCGTGGATGTTTGAGAGAAATTAAGGTAATGTTTTTACCCAAAAAAAAAGTTAAGGGTAAGGATAACTGAAGGATACTGTTTTATTATAGTTTAACTATATAGTTTTCCTTTTATTTGTAATATACAGAAGTGGTGTGTTCATTGTATGATTGCTTTTGCTTACCTAATATATAGGGATCGTATATATATATTCTATTGATTATTTGGAGTGTTCATATTATTGTGCTCTTTTGGAGTGAAAACTAGCTTGTAGAGCGATGGCTAGCCATGTGGATTATGAAGTTTCCTTTTCCCTTTGTTTAAATAATTTGTTTGGTTACTTATATTATGGTGTGCAGCCTTTCAGGCAGCTATATAAAATATGATCGTTTGGATGTTAATGCATTTAAATATTGATGAACGTTATTGTCGAATCCTTCTTTTTGGGGGGGGTATCCCATTATGGAGTTAGCATGTGAAGATTTATGATATACCAAATATAGTCTAAGTCATGAGTACTGAAATTGAGGTAGCAATACAAAAAATGAGATTATGGAACTTAAATGATTTCATGTAACTTTTTTTGTCACACAAACGATTATATTAATCTAGAAAGGGTTTAAGTGATTACATCCAGAGCTAAGCTTAATGGTAAGAAGATAATAACCGGAGGGATCCTCAACGGTTTGATGAACAACATAAAACAAAACATAATAACAGAACAAGAGATAAACAAAGTTAACGAGAATGCTTGCTCGAGAAGCGGAGAACCATGGGAGATCTTCAGATGCATCCCTGAATAGGTTACAACGAACATGAAATAGTTACAATTGATGTTGATTAAACCAAACTGCAAAGCTTGGAATGATGCGGAACGAGCAAGAACAATCATGTAACTAAAACATGGTGGAGCAACTATATATTGCTTGAGCTTGTGTAGTTTAGCATGTATATATTTCTATCTAAAGCCCATAATCTCATTGATTTCATCTAAAGTAGGCCCAAACATAAATTTACCGTAGCCAAAATCAAAGCAATTCTCTCCTTTTTGTGTTCTCAAAAGATTTCACATGCGCATTTGAGGTCTAACGTTTTGAAACAATTTTTAAAAAATAATTTTATATATTGGTAGTGTCTAGATTTTTTTTAAAGCACAGTGTCTATCTATCTATCTATATGTAGTTATTAGCATGTGAGTTTAAATTGTTACATTTTAAGTTGGGAAATGACTTAAGAAAGAAGAATGTCAGTAATACAAAAAACAGATAACAAATTTAAAAAGCTTTTAAAATTCTCTTACAACTGGATGCGTGCATCTTTTCACCAATACATGTATTATAGTATCATTATGTAAAATTATATTTATAATATAATGTGGGAAAATAACTTTGGATATTGTCGTGGAGAAAAGAATAGGAAGAAATCGAGAATCCATCAAACCCATCAATCAATCGATGTCTTTAAGACGTGAAAAGGAAGCAAACTCTGAGTTTCTGCCTCCAGCTAAACTACAAACCCCAACAAGACCTTTTCTTTTACATTGTACATTGCGGGCCCTTTGCTACTTTATTTACAACTATTACCAACTAGAGTTATAGCTTTAACTTTATGGTAAAATTATTCGAAGCTTGAGGATTAAAGTCCTTAATAAGAAGTCTTAAATTATCATAAATATCAAAGGATACGACCCTCGATATTTTATAACTTGTAATAGTTTTTTTTTGCTAAGAAATGAGAAAGTCATAGTTAAATAATGTGCGAGGCATTTCCAGGATCAACTTGTAATAGTTGGTGCCTCTGATAATATATGATCTCGAGTCTTCCAATCATTGGTTCTGATGAGCATATTAGGATTCAATAATGACTGAATAAACTAATAGTGTTTATAACCGCCGACCATATTGTTTCTAGATTCTGATAATAGTGGATTTAGATTTGGAATGGGAATATGTTTCTTTTTGAATGTCTTGACAATGATAATTTATTTCTGCGTTTGAAGAAAATCATAGATTTCAGATGGGCAAGGATCGAGTTTAGAATACTTTTAACTAATATAAGAGAAAATACTATTTAACTAATGTAAAAGATAGTAGCCGAAAGGCATGTTACCGAACTACTATGTATTGTCTGAACCGAAATCCAATCTTAGGTTTTCAAACATGTTTGTGATTTTGTTTTACGTAAGAATGTTGTATAGCACATCCACAGTATTCCAACATGTAATAACAAGTTTAAATTCTCTCTCTCTTATGTTGTTATTGTGCGTCGAATCACAATATTCCTAAGGAATAAAGAGGAAAAATGTTTCGTCTCGTTCCTTTTGATCAGTAAAATTACTTAGTAGAGAATTATTGTTCATAACTAGTTATTTAAATATTCGTAACTATTTCCCTTCCAATATTGGTAAACTCCACTTTAGTCCACTAACGTGTCGTTGTTGTTGTTGCTATTTCTATGCATGCATTTGAAAGTGAACCATAGCAGCAATTATTGAGAACTCTTTTGTCAATCATAAGATAAGATCTAAATTTGCACAAATCTATTATAGCCATCGTGTCATATAATAATAATTATCATGATTACTACAGCCGCATGCAGTGAAGAAAAAACAAAAACATGATTGAGATAGATTGAAAGATCTATACAAGAATTTCAGGATTTGAAAGAGGTCCAGTTGCATTTTCTAAATGAATATTTGAAGTGACTTTATAAATATTTGTCATAATAAATAGAGAGTTTCCATAATAATTTAAAACTAATATCTCTCAAGCAGAAAGAAAAGGGTGATATGATGATTAACTGAATGTCTGATTGGAGACTCTTTTGACTAATATTTGACTATAATAAACAAAGAAAAGGCAAATGCAATTCCGAAATTCTCAGTTGAGATGCATTAACGAATCCAACCGACACATTAACGTCTCAATGAACTAACGCAATACTACTTACTACTTTTCCATTTGTATTATGCATGTTTAAATAACTGATTAGGAAAAATAATGCTCTACCAACTTTACCAATCAAAAGTAATGGAAAATGATATTAAAAAATAATGATAATGAGAACAGTTTGATATAGTGGTAAAGGAGTTGCAGCCGGAGTGTCCGTTCCTTGGTTCGAATTTTGGCCACTGTGGAATGTACATATGGGTTGAAGCATCTGAGACCAAAACCTGTTACACGGTAAGCTATCTGGTGACTTTCGGGTCCATACTCACTTCGGTCTTTAGTCTGGACCACCATGGTGGGGTCAGGATACTCGGTTAGCAAAAAAAAAAAAAAAGAACAAAATTTTTGTTTTAAATCCTACAAACTTTTATCAAAAAAAATCCTACAAACTTCACCTATCAATGATTTTATGTTATTTTAATTTTTTTTTTGTCAACCACCCATTTTATGTTATTTTAATTATAAAATTTAATTAATTAACTAAGTTTATTAAACGGGGTTTTCAATAATGGGCCGCACAATGGACGTATAATAGGCCCGACTCTTCAAAACGCAGCGTTTAGTGCCAAGCTGAAAGTCTCTCTCTCAGCTAGAGTTTCTTCCGTCCCCTTCACTGCCCTGAAACCCTCCGGCGACTTGATCGGAGATTCTCCTTTTTTTCTCAAAACAATCTCGTAAACTCCGACACTGTGTCAGATGGGGATAGAGATAGTAGGCCATATCGAGAAAATCAACGGCAAAGAGCTAAGCTACAACGACTTCGCAGAGAGATACTTAGCCAAGAGCAAACCGGTAGTAATCTCCGATCTAACCGAAGATTGGAGAGGTAGAGAAGATTGGGTCACTGAGAATGGACTCCCTAATCTCAACTTCTTCGCTACTCACTTCGGAAAGTCCAAAGTTCAGGTTAAAGTTTACACCTTTAGGTTTTTACATATTCAAAATGTTTAAGGAAATGGTCAAAGATTAGATTTTTTTTTACTTTGTTGGGTTTAGGTTGCAGATTGTGATAAGAGAGAGTATACAGATCAGAAGAGATTAGAAATGTCTGTTTTGGAGTTTGTTGAGAAATGGGATAAGGATTCTGTTAAGGAGGACAATGGAGAAGATGATGATGATGGGAAGTCTGTGTTGTATCTTAAAGACTGGCACTTTGTTAAGGTACATAATTGAGGTTAACTCACACTCTTTCTTGTGAGAATGTAAGGCTTCCCATATTGAGTTTGTTGACTAGGACATGATTAATATATAAGAGATTTGTGTCACTCCATTTACTACTAATTGGTTTTGAGTTGGAATCCGATGTTAAATCCAAATTTAACATGGTATCAAAGCCGAACAAACCCGAAATCTGTCATGCCCAAAAGAGTCTTAACCGATCTTGAACCGGTCTGACATGAATCTTATATTAGGATATTGTCGAATAGTTTTAAGTTGGAATCCGATGATAAACTCAAATTTAACATGGTATCAGAGCCGAACACGCACTACCTAACCCGAACCCGAAATCTGTCATGCTCAAAGAGAGTCCTAACCGATCGTGAACCGGTCTGACATGAATTTTGTATTAGGATATTGTCGAATGGTTTTAAGTTAGAAACCCATTATAAACCCAAATTTAAGATTTATGTTTTATTTCATCTGAGAGATTTGATCCTTTTTTTATGCTGATTCTTGTAAAACCACAGGAGTATCCAGATTATACAGCCTACAGAACGCCACCGTTGTTTTCTGATGATTGGCTTAATATCTATTTAGACCATTACCAAATGCATGAGGATAGAGAGAAGTTCCAGAAGTATGATCAGATAAGCTGTTCTGATTATCGTTTTGTTTATATGGGTGGGAAAGGTACGAGTAAAGATCAAACAAAACTGTTGGTGTTTTGAGTGTTTTGGCCTCTGATAAGTTCTGAGCTCTTGGTTGCAGGATCTTGGACACCTCTACACGCTGATGTATTTAGATCTTATAGTTGGTCAGCTAATGTTTGCGGTAGAAAAAGATGGCTTTTTCTTCCTCCTTCTCAAAGTCATCTTGTTTATGACAGGCAAGCTTCTATCTATCAGACATGTAGCATGTCTCTTCCTGATTGTTAGACTTTATAGTTAGATGATTTTCTTTTCAGGTACATGAAAAATTGCGTTTATAACATCTTTGAAGAGGTGAATGAAACTAAGTTCCCAGGTTTTAAGGAGGTAAATCAGCTAGCAAATGATCAATTTGTATGATATTCTTTCAATGTGTGTCATTGCTCGTTTATGGTTTATTTTCAGACCACCTGGCTTGAGTGCATTCAAGAACTTGGTGATACTATCTTTGTTCCCAGTGGATGGCATCATCAAGTTTATAACTTGGTATGTTTCTCTCTTCTCTCTCTATATATACCAGCAACAGTGTGTTAATGCATGATCTCAAATGTTTTACAGGAAGACACCATTTCAATAAACCACAATTGGCTCAACGCATACAACTTATCTTGTGTGGTAAGGGCATTTGTTCTTCTATATAAAGAAAAACTCAACCGAACTAAAAGATTAAGTACTCATTGTCTGCTTTGAATTTCAGTGGGAGCTACTGTGGAAGGACTACAAGGAGACTGAAGAGTCTATAGAAGACATACGAGACATAGCTGATGATTTTGAAGCTCTCTGCCAACGTAATCTTGCTGCCAACACAGGTACATTCATTACTTATCTCCTTTCCTGATTTGAGTGTAGCTCTTCCTGGTTAAGCCCTTTCTCTTCTCTCATCTACAGGAATGAATTTGAATGACTTCTTCATCTTCATGTCACGGTTTGCTTTGGGCAACATGGTTCTACAAGAAGCTCTGAATCCATGTTCATCAGCAATGGCACAGAATCTGGTATTAAATCTCTTGACTATCAAGGAAATGATGATGAAGATGATATCTGCAGGTGGTGTGACTGCAAAGGATGTGTGTCTGGACTTGAGAGAAACTCTGGAGGATCCACAGTTTATAAGATTCTGCAGTGACTTGGGAAGAACATATAGAATAATTCACAAGGAAGAAGACAATAAAGTGCTCTTTCCAGAAGAATTCTTAGTAAAGATCATGGGTTTTGCAGATCAGAAGATGCAAATATGTTCTCCAAATGATCTTGTTGAAATGATAGACCGTTTTAATACTTGTTCATCCAATCCATTAGCATGAATATGTGTGCTTGTATTAATCTTATTGAACTTTCTTTTTTACATATACATAGAGAAAAAAGACTACATATTCTATTGAAATATTTTTCAATATTAATTTGTTATTTTATTAAAAGAAAATTATAATTACCTTGACAATCTCTTTATTGGATGTAGGCGTTTAAGCCCAAACATATGGATATACAGTGAAATCTTTATAAAATAATACTGTTGGAACTATACCAAAATTTTATTTTTTATTAATTTATAAAGATATTAATTTATTGATATACTAATTAAACCAAAAACTTAATTTGAGAATATAAAATTATATTATTTTATAGAGAAATTTAGTATATATCAGTTTATCGAGTACTAATTTATAGAGTTTCTACTGTAATTACTTACAAAGGGATAACCCAACTTAATATATTTATGACTTTTGTCTAATATTTTTTCAAACTGAATTTATTCATTTTATATAAAATTCGACAAGTAAAGTATCTTTAAAAATTATTATGGTAGTAAATCTATATGAAGTTGATTTTGTGATTTATTTATCAATACAATTCTAGAAATTTTGACTGAATATGATATGTTAGCACTAAATATTGAGATATTGATTGACATATGTCACAAGAAGTAGCTATAAATTAGATTATGAATATTTTAATTAATTGATAATATCTTAAATTAGCATAATTACTCGGTCAATATCTACTAATATAGTTAGTTTCCGATATTACAGTCAATCACAAAGATTTTCTGTATCTCCCTACTTTTTTTTGTATAAATAGTAGTGAAGAGAGAAACAAAAACATTGTCACTTCACCATTCCCTCATGGCATATTCAATCATCTTGCAGAAACATTCAAACTCAAACAACAATGGCGACGAGCAACGAACTAGAGTTTGCCACAGCCGTGGCGATTGCGACAAAGCAAAGAACGTTCAAGAAATTCTCATTCAGAGGATTCAACGTGGAAGCTCTTCTCAAAATGTCCAACGTTGATCTCTCTAAGCTTTTCAACGCTCGTGTTAGAAGGAGATTCTATAGAGGGTTAAAGAAGAGACCTCTGATTCTTATCAAGAAGCTACGTAAGGCGAAGAAAGAAGCAAAAGATGGGGACAAGAAGAAGCCTGAAGTGGTGAAGACACATCTAAGGAACATGATCATTGTCCCTGAGATGATTGGAAGTGTTGTGGGAGTGCATAATGGTAAGAAATTTAACGAGGTGGTGATTAAACCTGAGATGATTGGTCATTATCTTGCGGAGTTTTCCATGACTTGCAAGAAGGTTAATCACCATAAACCACGTATATGTGGTTGTGGTTGTTACCGTAATTCCAGAAGGTTTATTCCTCTGAGGTGATTGAATAAGAAGAGCTTTTATTGTTTTGTTTTATTGGTGTTTATTTTAATTTTGTGTTTGATCTCTTTTCTTCCTTAGAATGTTCCTTCACCTTCTAATAAAATTCAAACCTTTTAAAAGTAATGGAGACTCTTAACCCCACATGAAGTATCTCAACTCTTCCTCTTCCTATCTAAATTTTACTTAAAACAAAATAATTAAACCAATCATATGTGGGCTTGGTACATGAGAAATAGTTAACCCCTAACTCATGAGAAATATTTTTAAGCCCCTCATGAGAAATATTTTTAAGCCCCAATGAAATTGCTCTATAGGTCTCCATCTAGTTTTACGTTCATGTTGGTTTAATTCGGCTGACTACAGACTAGTTGGTTTTCATCAATTTGATTACAAACATGTAAAAGTTGTTTGAATCTGATCGAGCAAACGATTATGTATACATATTTTAAATTCCCTCATTAAATTGTTTAATTTCATATATACAAGAAAAAACGCGTATTACATAAACCCTCGTTGATAAGAGTACATCCTTGTTAGTTGTTAATTAAGAGTACTTTGTTAATTAACGTTTTTATAAAGTTTTTTTCAGGTTAGCATATAACATTGATAAGAGTACATCCTTTTCTCTGATGAATAAATAGTCATTTGTTAATTTACGTTCTTTTGAAGTTACATAAGAGGTGAAATGATCATATTTTGATTATACTGGTTTCATCTAGCTAGTTACGCTGACCTACATGTGAAGCCATTTTCTTAACAATAGTTTATTCTGATTCTTACGCAGTAGTTCAAACACGAATTACATAATCTATCTAGAATCTAGCAAGCCATTGAACCAAAAAAATAAAAAAAAGTAGTAAATTCATACAAAGAAAAAAAAAGTATTTATAGGTAATAACTTTTAGCATAGGACATTGTCTATATAGTTAAGAAATGTGACAAAAAAATTAAAACATAAACAAAGATATGATCATTTCATGCATTATAAGTAACTACCGAACCACATCAAATGCAATGTTCAGATCGAAGACCATGCACTCTTTCGACGAAGTAATTAGTTATAATTAGTTTTTTCATATCAATAGATTGATGCAGTGTATCTGTTCTCCCAAATACCTTAAATATTATTATTTCATTCTTTGTTGATTTTTCGTTACAAGTAGACAGAAAAGAAAAGAAGAAAAAAGATCATAAGACATTATATGAAACTCTTTATCCTCTCATTTCTTCCATCTCTCCTGTCTTTATCCTGCAATTTTAAAAAAGAAACATAGAAACAATGTTAATTTCAATGACATAACCACACATGACAAGTGCATATATACAGAGATGGAGAGAGAGATATTTACTGCGAGTATGGTTTAGTTGAGTGGAGTTTTTGTTCGCAGCCTGACATACATAGTTGGAAGCACGGGGTTTTGAACTCAATATCTTTGCAGAGAATTACACATTTAAATGTACATATATGATTTATTGCTTCTCCTCCAGTGGCCGCCATCACCACCAAAACGAACACCATCATCGTCACACTCAATTTTTTCTCCATTTGTCTTTTGAATTTGATTTTAGTATGTATGTATGAATATATTTTACTGAAGCTCTCGCTCTATATATATAAGATAAAAAGACTACCTCATTGTCTTGTTTCTGTTAACTTACATGTAATTACTAGGATCTCTATATTTGCCAGGATATCATAAATGTGGTGTTGAAAATTGACTAAGAACTCTAGCAAATGTATCTGGGCGACATAAATTGCATGTAACAAAAAGGCAGTTTCTCTCCAGACATATTTTGAAATGGGTATATTCTTCTTCTTTTTTTTAACAACCAGGTATATTCTTTGATTTATTCTACTACGGTCATTGACCATAATTCTTAGTTTTTGATAAGTGATTCTGTCATTTACTTCGTTAAAATGTTTCAGTTAAAAAAGAATATTCCAAGTATATATTATTTCTGTCTAATTTTTAGTTATCTACAAAAAATTACGTATACAGTTTACAACTCTATTATAAAATTTTAACTATAAGTCAATTATATATAACATCTTACGTGAAAATAAAAGTGTAATGCAATATGTAGTATATCAAAACATTTCAAATAACATTTTGTTTTGTTAAATAACTAGTTCTTGATAATAGAATTTTATAAGTGTAAACTTAAAGTATATAATTTTGTTTAGGTTTAAAGTAAAAACATATTAAATGAAAAGGGTTACTCTAAATCATTCACTCGTTTCAAGAGATTCACTACAGTAATATTATTTGTTCTTGCATATAAATAGATTCTTATCAGTTTCCTCAAATATCTTGTCGAAACTATACTTATAGTATTTGTTCATCCCATTTTCACATAACTATGATTAAATTTTTACTATTCTTATTATTTATCTCATTATAAAATAAGGAAAAATGACTGTATATTAAATCAGAAACAGAGATATGTATGATAATTTCATGTGTAACCTTTGATCATTTCATAAGTAACCTCAGAATCAAATTAAATGCAATGGTTCAGAAGACCTTGCCCTCTTTCCCAACTAATAATTAGTTTATGTATACCAATAGATGGATTGTATATGTTCTCCTAAATACCTTGTTAAATTTAAGCAAAAAAAAAAACTTGTTAAATCACATTATTCTATTTATTATATTATATTTTTGTTTACATGTAGACAGCAAAGAACATGGGAAAAACCATCATGACATTATGAAAGTATCTTCATCCTCTGATTTTTTCCTTCTCTCCAGTCTTCATCCTGCATTTTTTATATCACCATAGAAACAATACTTCACAATGACATACACATACACAAGTACATGCATGCATGCATAAATGAAGAGTTTTTTTTTTGATAAAAAGCATAAATAAAGAGTGAGAGGGAGATCTTTACGAGTATGGTTTAGTTGAGTGAAAGGTACTTGTAGGTTTATGTGTGCAGTCGGCCATGCATTTTTTGAAGCACTCGGTTTTGAACTCAGGATCGCCGCAGGTCATTTCACATTTAAAAGTACATACATGATCTACTGCTTCTCCTCCATTGGCCGCCATCACTACCAAAACGAACACCATCATCGACACACTCAATATTTTCCCCATTTGTCTTCTCAATTTTAATTTTTGTGTTTATGGGAAGCTCTCTTTCTCTCTATATAAATATAAAATGACCACCTCTGGCAAGCACTGTGAGCATTTTATATACCAAGCTATCATTAATATGTGAAGTGCAACACACAACACGACGTAATGAAATATTCTTTTTCCGTTCGAGTTCGACATTTGCTCCTTAAAATTAACAAAACAACAAATTAACGTTTCCTTAAAAAAGAAACTTTTACTTTTTTTCTCCTTGAAATGTTTGTTCAATTGAAATACAAATACGCATGTAACCCTCTCAAACACAAAATAAAGAATCCATTCAACAAGTTGCTATACATAACACTTGTTTGCTGATCGATAAAGCCAGATTTTTTTTTATAAAGCCAGATTTGTTTATTAAATGACATTGTTTTTAAAAAAAAATGACATTGTTTATGCTTTTTTCCGTTATTATTAAAAGTTGCTAGTTACTATTTGTTTTATTTTATTTTGTAAAGTATTTATGAAAATTCATTTATTTTATATTTTATGATATTAAGTTTGCTTCTGTATTTTCTATTGATATAGTTGTTTTTATATACGTAATGATAATAGTCTTTTAAAATATAGTAACATCTATAATTTTATAGGCTGAAATTTTCTAGCGATTTTAACTAATATTTACAACTGTATCGGTTCAAAACTCCCGCCATTTTAACTAATATTTATAATTCCCACCATCATTGCCACACTCCATTTGTTTTCAATTTATCTTTTTAATTGGCTTTTTTGTATGTATATATAAATTTAAGGTAAGCTATATATATAAAAGACAATCTCTTTGTCTTGTCTCTGTTATGTTCAGGGGCAGATCTAGCAAATGTGACAATATGTGGCACACCATTTAGATAACAAAGTCTTCAACCTAATGTGTATGGGGGCATTTCCTCAACTTTCAATAAAACTAATGAAAAATATTTTTTTTGTATGTGGCACTTGTCCCGTCAGGATTCACCTAGGTCCACCCCTGATTATGTTACAAAAAAAACTTACATTTAATTACTATGATATCCATTTCTGCCAAGATATCGGTGTTGAAAATTGACTAAGAACTCTAGACAATGCATCTGGAAATGATATAAACTGCATGTAACAAAAGGCAGTTTCTGTCCATGCATATTTTGAAACGGGTAGATTCTTCCATTTGTTTTAAAAGAATACTAGATTTTGACCCGTCCTTAAAGAGGACGGGACAACCATTTTTGCTTTAAATTTATGTCATTGTTTGATTATTCACAAATATGTATAGACATGACTATCCGGATTCAGATAGATTGTCGTTAATAATTTTGGTTTGGTCCAACATATATAGATTAAATACGATTACATACAATTTAATGTGTGGTATAAGATTGTTTTTTCTTATTAGATAACAAAATTTAGAGATCCGATGAAATTATGAGTTGTATTCGATAATCTAAAGTATTTATTTGTAATAGTTTATATTTTGAGTTCAAAATTATTTTTTATAAAAAAATAAATAATTTTAGGGTACTATTATAAACAATTTGGTTGATATTATTGTCATATAAAATAAATAGAGATACAACCGACTGTTAATTTTAAAATTATGGTCATAAAAGTTGACATTGTATTATATAGACGGTATGTGTTTAAAAATATGATTAACAAAACAATTATATAATAAAATAACATACAAATTCAAAATACAACTGCGAATGATTATTGCAAACCCGTAAATAAATCAATACATCATATTAACGACCCAAGCCCAACACAAATATACTGACAATATCTCTTTAATATATCTTGGACATGCGACAACCACATATCTTTTCAAGAGCGGATATATTTTCTTTATAAATTGATTTATACGAAACAAAGATTTGATAATTATAAAATTACATGTGTTGAAAATTTGCAACTTAGTACATTTATAATTGTGTTGAGCAGTGTTTTCATACCCGACATGGGTTTGAGATTGAGCAACTAAAATTAGTGATATGTATATATTGCAGTTCGGATTTAACTAATTCACCGCTATTCAAAATTTTGATAAAACTTTGGTAAGAATCCAAAATCCGTTAGTAACATGTCACCTAGCACTGATTGACCCGTGTAAAACTAAGATAAAATTGGTGATCTAAAAAAATTGATCAAAATTTTATATATTTTAAAATGAGTACATGAAATTGAATAGTATATTTGATTTGTGATTCTTTACTAAAAGAAATACTACGTTGTCTGATAAAAAGAAAAGAAGAGAAAGGCGATAGAGAACACCAAAAAAATGTACTCGTTTTTCACTATTATTTAATTTTTATTATTGATAATTTATTACTGGTTCTATTTTTAATTTAGACTTAAATTTTATTTTTTTATGATTGCTATTATTTACTTGGTAGAAACTGTGATATAGAATAAAAATGTTAGATATGGTTTTATGTATATTAAAAATAGGTTGACATATTCATTTCGAACTTTTACATTCAAAAAACATTTTATGCATAAAATTTTAATTATTAACAACACACACACACACACACACA